CAAAACCCACCCTTCTTCCTCCCTAGCAAGTATTCGGGAACTGAATGTTAATAGTTGTCTGTGTCGGAACACAGTGGCAGGTCAGGAAGGTGGTTGCCCTCTGGAAATTATTTTGACCTTGTCCTCTATGGCCACTGATGTCCACATATCACCAGGAACTTAGGGAAGGGTGGCAAAAGAGAGGCATGAAGTTGATCAGTCTGCCAATGCCAGCGCTCCCCCCACAGACCCAGAACCTGTTCTTAGTTCCCTTTGTGGGGGACTTGCTGGAACCATGCCTTCACCTCACTGTTAAGGTCTGTTGTCAGCACAGCAGGGTTCTCTTGAAAAACTAGTCTGTTTTTGGTGATCTTATATGTGCCAGAGAATATGAAAGTAGTCATTTTATAAAGCGCCTGAAAAAAGTCTAGTAATTATTGTTCCAAACAAGCCTCTCTTTCTCTTTAGTTCTTCTAACATGGAAAGAGAAAGAAAATCCTGCCTGAATGAAAGGTCCTTCATGAGCCATGTGGCCCAGGTTGGCTCCAGGTAACCTGGGGATGAAGGAAGTCTGTTCCTTTTTCCAGTAGCATCTTAACCTATGGAACAAAAACACCTCAGACACTCATCTCTGGTGGGAGAAATGTTTATATTCACAGGGATCTGCATTTTATGGTTTTGGAGAGGCGGTAAATGATGAGGCCCAGAGGTGGGTTGTTTTTTTATTTTTTGTTTTTTTTTTTTTTTTTACTTCTAAATAGTAAATGAAGTATGACTATAATCTCTTTACTGAGTTCATGGAAAAACTCAAGTCACTGAAAGTTAGTTTTACAGATGAGGGAAGTTTTACAGCTAGATTACCTGACTTGCCCAAAGCTTGTAAATCTTTGGGAGACGGGAGAGCTGTTTCAGGAAGTCTAGAATCAATCTCTGGCTCTTACACCCAAAGGACATCTTTGTAGAAATTGGTGAGAGGATGCCCTGGGCTCCAGGGACACAGCAGGCCTGACTGTGAACCCCTTTGATTATTTGCTGTGTCCTTGACCACGACCACGTGGTGACATGAAACAGTCATGTTTTATTTTCAGTCAATGAAATAATCATTTTCAGATGATTACTTTTATAGTTGCTAAAGTATTTTCAGTGACCTCTTGTATATAGGACAGTTACTGGGCAGAGGTAAGCAGTTCTTTCATTGGTCCCTTTTTGCGTATTATAGAACCTATTCTTGAATCCTTTGAGATGGGTTTTATCATCATTTCTGTGTAGCTGTTGGGTCTCTGAGGGATTGAACAGCTTGTCCAAGGCCACACACAGTTTATTACTAACAGGACTGAGATCTCAAGCCAGGTCACCTGGTCGTACAGCACTCCACAGCTTTGCTAGGCCATTGCCAAGCCTGGCAATCTACATGGTGGGTTCTGGCTGGAGGCTGGAGGACCCAAGATAATAACTAGCAAAGTTGCCAAAGGCTGCTTTTTCCCCTCTCAGTCTGTCAGTGTAGAACCTCCCCAGAAATTTCCTTTCATTTCTTACTTTTCTTGTCAGGGCAACCCTAATTTTTTTTTTATATAGTTTATTTTTACATCATTTTGTACTTTTTTTTTTTCATCTCAATTGTAATCCCCATGGGCTTTCCATCACCATAGTTCTGTGCACTTCCCTACCCCCTACCCCATTTGATCCCATTCCCCACTCCACCCCCACAAAATGTCTCTGGTATATGACTGTTCATTATTCTTATTATTTTCTCCCCTGGTCCATTATACTCCTGCTATGAGCGAAACCATCCGGTATTTTTCTTTTTCTTTCTGGCTTATCTCACTAAGTACGATCTTTTCCAGCTCCATCCAAGTTGCTGCAAAAGACATGTGTTTCTTTTTTATTTTTGGTTGCTGAGTAATATTCCACTGTGTATATATGTACCACATCTTTTTAATCCAGTCATCTACTTCTAGGCATTTGGGCTGCTTCCATGTTTTTCCAATTGTAAATAAAGCAGCAATAAACATGAGCCACCCCAATTTTTTAAAGAGGTGTTTTGTTGTTTTCTGGTTTGTTTGTGTTTAAAAGATCAGACTAGTCATTCCATGGAAGCTTCTGTGTGCTTAGACCTCAGCATGGGCCAATGCAGCCTCTCCTGCTCATGACCTTAGTGCCCACTTATAGTGATGAGCAGGGCCATTGCCAAAGTTTCCTCTTTGTATAACCACTGGCTGAACTCCACAGTCACCAAACAGTATTATTTTTAAATATGAAAATCATGAAAGCTAGGGCAGAGGGAGGAGCCAGACAGGACTCCAAGTGTTTGCCTCACAGGCCTCACAAGTAACCTTTTTTTCCAGGTAGAGCAGTCGGGCCGGGGGGGGGGGGGGGGGGGGGAGCTGCCTTCTAAGGTCAGAGCACAGGGGCTGGTTTAGAGCACACAGAGGGGTGTGAATTTCCCACCTCTCCCTTCTGAACTAGGGAAAGAGACAAAGGAGAAGTCAGAGCTGGCTCTTCTCAAGGCTAAAACCACCACCCCAGAATACTCCTAGTCTTCAATGCAGAAGATACAGCTAAAAATAGAATGTTCCAGAAAACTTTCTTTAGCCCTGTAGCCTTTGATGTCCTGAGGGCCAACCATAGAGTTCCACCGTGGTGGAAGGCTCTGCCCTACCAGGCCATGATGGGTTTTCCTGGGACTGGGTCCCTTCAGGGTGCCTCTCTGCCTGCCTCAGCCTCTCCAGGAAGTGCTCCCTGCCGCCCTCTCCTCCTCCTCCCTTCCCCTCACTCTTCCTCCTCTGCTCTCCCAGCACACACTCCCAAGGGAGCTGGCCCAGTCCATGACATTAGTCACTACCTGCTGGCAGTGCAATGAGATCTGCATCTCTAGTCCTCAAAGGCCTGCAGACCTTTCTTTGAAGGCAGATTCCCCCTGGACTTCTGGAAACAGGGTTTGCTTGTGAGGCACCCTGTGACACACCTGCAGTCCTGCCTGTCTCCTCCTTCTGCCTCAACCTACATACCAAAGCGCTTTCCAAGTCTAGTCAGTGCTCCCTCCCCTCCCCCAAATCAGGGCCTTATGCCTTGTGATTTTTACTCTCTGGGTCCCTGCCCCTCCTGCAGCCCCCCACCTGCTCTGCTGCAGGTCACCTCCTAGTTCCCATCTCCTCCTCTCCCTGGTTATCCATCTTTACCCTTGACATTGGCCTCCTCTGTTCCGCCTCTTTTTCTATCACTTTTCTGAACTGTCCAAGCCTCTCTGGACTTTGTCTTCTCCTGGCTTCCACCTGACTGCCCCTGCCTTCACAGACATGCTTGAAAGAACCTTCTACACTGCACTCATGTCTCCATTGCCCACGTCTCCCCCTGCCACAATCTGGCTTCAGCCTTGGTCTCCGCAGCCAAGTCCCCAGTGTCTGTTTCTGCAGCAGTGGGCGATGCTTTGGATCTGTCTGGTTTCCTCTTGCTGGCCTACCCACACGCCTCCTTTGCATGCCTTTGCCATGCCTAGCTCCTGCATGTCATCAGCCACTTCTTACTCCCTGCTTCTACTCCCTGCAGGCTGATGACTCGCACATCACAACTCCATCAACTCCTCACTAGAGCTCCCTGCCTTACACCCAGCTGCCCATGGCACACGCACAGTGTTCCAGGCCACCAACCCTCTCCTGACAAACCTCCCTCCAGGTCCCTCATCCTGAAAGTAGAACCACCATCTACCCATGCCCATGCAGTAGCCCCCTGCACAGCCTCCAAGCTCTGCTGTGTTCCTTACCTCAATACCATGCGGTTTGCTGCCTCTGCTCACGCCACCTCCACTACCTCTGGGCAAACTCTCACCTGCTTCCCTCCTGGCCATGTGATCTTCCCGCTTCCAGCTCTGTCTATTTCATAGCCAGCTCCTCTCAGAGCCTGGTCCTGACACATATCATGGCATTTGTTTCTCCATCACCTGCAGGATTCTTAGCTTGGGCCCAGGCCCTGTGGAACGCCTTCCTTCCTCTACCTTGACCACACATCCCCAGGGTTCAGGTAACCAGACAGTGGCGTTCCCTCAATGCGCCCCTCGTTTTTCCTGGCTGAGGGCACTTTGGCACTTTTGCCTCCTCCTCACCTCACAGGCCTAAGCATGTGTCCCTCCTTTCAGGCCAGTTGCCTCCTCTGGCTCCCGAGGCTCAGCCCCCCTCTTCATGGCACGTTGGTGACTGCCCACAGATCTCTCTCATGAACCTTTTCATGAAGTCTCTGGTTGTCATTCACTCATCCACCTCGGTCTCAGGGGCTGGCAGTTCCAGGTAACTGATGGGTGATTAATAGGTGTGAGCTCCAATGAATCCACCCCTCCCTCCCATGTGACTATCTGTATTCTCTCCGAGCTCCTCCAGGGCAGGAATCTTGTCTTTTTCATCTCTCTCAGCATCTCTCCTGCCAGTAGGGTGCAGAGATGTTTACTGAGAAAGAATGAATGTGGACCAAGGTGACACCCGCCCTTCCCTCTGGTTTCCAAGAGTAACTTGGAGCCTAACAAAACCTGCCCTACATTCTTGGGGACTCCCATCAATCATAAGATTTACTCCCTTTTATGTTTGCAAGCCTAGGTAAAGGGGGGGGGTGCTCCTGGAAGGCTGAGGTTAGCAATGGGAATGTGTTGTGACAACCACCCTTGTCTCCCTTCCAGCTGTTTGGTAGCCTCAAGACCAGTGAGGGATCTGGGGACCAGCCCAAAGGAATGAAGTTTCTGGAAAGCTTCCTGTACATCGGCTCCTCACTCCCAGTCTTGCTAGTTAAGACCCCAGCCCTTCATTCTCGGAACCCTAAGGGAGCAGGCAGGAGGGAGAGAGAGGAGGAGGCTGGGAAGCGGGACAGTGAGGGAGAGCGCAGACGGGACAGGAGGCGGGGAGGCAAGGCGCTGGGCTGCCCGTCCTCCCGCCCAGGCTGGCTTCCCCGCCCCTCCCGCCCCTCGCCGCTGCTCCCTCCCGCTCGCCGCTTACTTAACCTGGCCCTGCAGCCCTGGCGCTCTCACTTCGCCGCTGCCACTCGCCTGTGGGTCTCTGGCTCCCACGCTGTTGTCCGCTCACTTCATGGCACTCCTCTTGCGGCTGCTGCCCCTGGCCCTGGCCCTGGCCCTGGGGCCTGATGCCAGCCTGGCGGGACCCGCCAGGTCACCCTACCAACTGGTGCTTCAGCACAGCCGGCTCCGGGGCCGGCAGCACGGGTAAGCCAGTCCGCCCTGCGCGGGTGGTGGAGGGGAGGGACTGTCCTGTGGTCTTCAAAGCAGACTGAATTCAGGGGACAAAGCCTGAAGGAAAAGTGGGCAGCGTGGGGTGTTTGGGGGGACCAGCCCTGCACCAGCTTGGGGGGAGGGAGGTGGAAGATAGAGCTCAAGTGAGCAGTAGAGGCTTCCTGGAGGAAGAGGGAGAGCTTGACTGTCACCCCAGCACTCAAGCCAAGAGCAGGCAATGAGGCTTTCGGTTCTCCTCCCAGCAGATAGAGAAAAGGGACTTGGCAACTCTGCCCAGAATCTCCTGGGAAAGTTGGTCAGGACCAGGAGGAAGCCCGTGAGCAGTGCACCTAACAGCCCTGCCAGGTCCTGTCCTGACCTGACACCTCAGGAGTCTCAGGGGACTCAAGATGACAGCATCCAGAGCTCCCCGGGGTCTGTTCACCTGGTCAGGCCCTTAACCACTATCTGGTACCAGGCAGTGTTCCTGTGTACAGCAACGGCAGTGTGGCATCTCCTCCCCTTCCAGATGAAAATCCAGAGAATTCCCTGGTCTCACACAACTGCACAGTTGGGGAAACTGAGTCTGGAGAGGACATACCACTTTCCCACAATCCTGCAATGTATACACTGGAGCCAAGATTAAAGTCTACCTTAAGACAACAACAGGGTTTGTAAACATGCAGCATTATCTTTGCGAATCTCCTTTGAAAGATAGGAGATGTGTAGGTTTTAGGCAGCAAAGCCAGGCGCAGAATCTGATCTGGTAAAGACCCTGGCATGGACCCTGGCAGAGGTGGGCACTATTTCTACATCCCCGTCTACATCTGCATCCACACACAGCCAGGATGTGCTGTAGCTCCAGCCTACCTGCATGCCCCGACCCCTTCTCTACAACTATGTAAAAAGTGTATGTGGGCAGAGTCATATAGCTGCTGGCATTCATACCCAAGTAGTGCCCAGCCTGCCGCGTACCTGGAGAGATCTGAACCCAGATCAGAACTCACTGTTGGTGTTATTAGTGTTGATGTCATGGGACTGTATAGCTCTAGATGTCCCATCCCCAGAAATGCCCCCTCAAGGGGAGTGGTCATCCTTGCTCCCTCTACCTATGGTCTCCAGATCTTGCCTGGACTTGCAGGTGCCCAGGGCTGCAGGGAAAGGGACCACTGGAGGGAAGTCTGGCCTCTGCAGAGTGGCATCAAGCCAGGTCACACCACAGCCTCAGTTCCCTCCCCCAAAGAGAAGATCATCAGGAAATGACTGAGACCCCTAGGGGAGTGGGGGAATCCCCTTTGACTTAGGCTGTGGTTAAGAAGGGTGAGAGTTCATATCAGAAAGATGAGAGGATGGGAGGCATAAAGTCAAAAAGTAAACATGGCATTTGTGCTTTATCTGCTCAATTCACCTCTGTACTCTGCCTTTTTATCAATGGAACATATTTGGGTGCCACCACCCGTCCCGGAGGTTTCATGCCTTGTATCTTAGCCAGGAAGTCAGGAGAGGACCCCTGTAGTGTGCTCTGTAGCATCTCTAACCAGAATGGCATCTGAATTTGCTGCAAAGGTGTTGATGGGGGTTCTACCAGGAATCATCTCTTGAGCAAACCTTCCTCTTGAACCCAAAAAAAAGATGTGGGCCAGTGAGAAAAATACTTTTTAAAAAGTATTTATTTATTTATTCATACAGAACTGGGGTACAGGCCAGAAGTGCAGGGGTGGTGAGAGGATTCCCCAGAGACAGAGTGGGGAGCAGAACAGGCAGATCAACAAAGTACACTGCTGAGGGGAACAGCAGGCAAGGCAGGTCTGCTGTGCCAAATACAGCTTTTTAAAAATGCACGTACTGTATTATGAATATTTGTAATGCTTTTTATTATTCATTTAAGATATTAGATTTCCACCCTCCCTACCTCCCCTCCCCTTCCCATGCTCCTGTTGGTGAATCCTCTTGATCTGCTTCTGGCAGTGCAGTTGGAAAGACCTGTAGTGACCCAGGCTGGGCTGAGGCATCACACTTGCCCCGCTGCCCTGGTAAAATCTGCATGCACAGTCTGTAAACTGTGGCAAATGGTTGCAGGAGCAGCTGCATTCACTCTGCTCTAACTGTCCCTGAGAACATCACAAGGCTGCTTGGCCAGCATATGGGTGTGGTACCCTATGTCATGGATAACCTTGTCCAAGCTCCAGCCCTTCACTCAAAGTGAGAATGGGTGGAAAGGAAGGGAAATCTCTGTTGTTTTAAGGAAATTCTCCCAGATGTGAAGGAAGTAATGAGCGTGCCCTGCTCCCATCAGCGCTCGGTCACCCACCATCACCAGCACAGCCACACACTGCAGCTTACGGATGGATGGCTCAGTCCAAGCACAGAAAGCTGTTGGGAAAGTTATGACAGTGGCATCCTCTTGCCTCCCAGCTCTGTCTGTGTTACTATGGATAGGAGGAAAAAATAATACCAAGAGAGAAGTAAAAATGCAATCGTACTTCCAAATACCAACAACCAAAAGTGGATGAAGTTCCTGAAACACTTGATTTTCAAATCCAAGTTGAACTACAGAGCATTGTACTTAAGGTAGATGGCCCAGAAAGGGCCTGTTCACTTCAATTAACTTCAGCAAAAAGTTCCTATATATACTTCCTCTGCCTCTTGGGTTACCGAACCTCATCCTGTCATCCCCCCAGCCCCTTCCACTGTTCCTGTCTCAAAGGGCTACAGCCATTCATATACTCCACTGAGGAATGTTGGAGCCACAAGAGCCTCACTAAAGCTTTGCCAAACGCCCACGCAATGTGGCAGGGAATTCATCGACAGTAATTGCTTCCTGCTTGGTTAGATAGAATAATCACAGAGATTTTACAGTGGTAAACAACACCTATGACTGGAGTGTGGCCAGTGGGAACTCTTTGGAGTTTGTTGTAATTTGTGAATCCCACACATCAAACAGAAAAGCAGGGTGGCTTCTGAGAGAATCCTCTGGAGGCTTCCAGAACTTGGTCAGACCCAGCTAGAAAGAAGGGGCCATGGCTGTCCTCATTCCCTCGCAGCATTTTAACTTCTTGTGTCCTCAGGTTCTTGTGCCACCTTACTAATATTTACTGTGCCTTTCTGACCCACTCACCTTTGCCTAGTGAACTACAAACTGGATGAGAAGTGACATCCACATACTAGAAGAGATAGGACAGAGAAATAGAGGGTTGGCATGCCCTCCCACCCAACAACTGACTGAAAGTTTGAGAATTAACTGAGTTCCTGTAGTCTAGGCAACGGGGAAGAGATCTTACTGCAACATCAGTGTCTTCCTGAGAAGTGCTATCCACATCAAATGGTGGCTGTGAATACATTTTTAAAGTCCCAGAGGAACTGATGCTAAGGAATAATGTGTGGAGTTCCTGAGCCTACTGGAGGTCTTCAGTCTCAGCTTTGCTCCCTCTGATTTGTGCTTCAGCAGATGAACCGCTTGTCCTGCTCCAGGAAGAGCCTTCCTGGGTCACCCTCAACTGAGTGGCCTCTTTCCATGTGCTCCTGTGGAGCTCCTGCCGCTACCTGGCCTGAGCTTGGTTTGGATCAGGACTTGATACACTAGAATAAAATACACAAAATCAAGCTCCCACAGCTCTGGTAAAGGTTTCTCAGCAGAACTCTGAGGCGTTTGCAATTAGATTTTCCACAGAGCTCCTGAGGATTCTTCTGAACTGGGTGATCCTTGAGAATCCCACAGAGTATTTTCAGCCAGTTCATTCCACCTTGACCAGGTGCTAGGCCCCACCAGAAAAAGAGTCAGGCAGAGCCTCTGTAGTCCAGGCAGTGGGAACAAGGTGGAGCTCTCGCTGCAACATCAGTGTGACTAGGATCCTGTTGGATCCCAGCCTGAAAAGGGGTACTGCCTCCAGATCAGAGGACAGGAAAAAAGCATGTAATCTGGGGCACTAGAGGGTGGCTGTCTGGAGAAGTGGGAATCAAGCTGGGCCTAGAGAACAACTGTGAGTTTAGTAAGTTTCAGAGGTCCCAGGAGGGCACCTCTGAGGGTCTTTGGGACCCCAGACTCAGTCTCCCCTCACTCCAGCAGGCCCACTGGTGTGCACTAAGATACCAGATTAGAGCCTGTGGAAGTGGGGCTACAGAAAGGCTGGGGACAGCTCTCAAAGCTGCTCTGCTAGGCAGACACATCACTTTTACTCACTAGCTTTCTCAATAGGTGACAAGCGATGTGAAATGTCAAGATGCTTTTATTTAAATCTTAAGGTGCATTTGTATTTAGCAAATGACCGTGCTGATAAGGCCACTTAATGACATTGTGCTTTGACAGTTTTCAATTTCGGGGGAATTATGCAGGGGGGCTGATGGAAATCTGAGTCAGAAGGGCCAAAGTTTATGCAAGAGTGAAGTGACCGGGCCTTCTTCATGTCTGACTATTCTAATCACCCAGGTGTGTCCATCTGGTGGAAAGGACATTGAGGCTGGGCGGGCCTACTGACCATCTTGCTAACAGTGCCCTTTGATTTCAGCCCCAATGTGTGTGCTGTGCAGAAGCTCATCGGCACCAACAAGAAGTACTTCACCAACTGTAAGCAGTGGTACCAGAGGAAAATCTGTGGCAAATCAACGTGAGTATCTGCAGCCACCCAAGGTTGCCAGTCACCACAGGCCATGCTGTGTGGGGGCTACCGGTGACCACAGGCCTGAGCCGGCCTTGGCTGGCCTCTGAGAGGTCAGGCTGCCATGGAAGCCATGACGATTCATGTGCAAATGTGGGTATGTGTCTCTAGTTCTTAATCCTCACTAAATGATACAAATATTCAGTGGAGAAGCCACCAGCTTCTGTTCCTGACAAAACTCATTTGTGATTTATATTAAGTAACAACACTTTTGCTCTGCAATCTTTTTTTTTTTAAGGATTTATTTATTTATGCATATGATCTGGGGTACAGGCCAGAGCTGCAGGGATTGGAGGAATCACTAGAGAGAGAGTAAGGAGCAAAACAGGCAGATTGACTGAATTATACTCAACCTGGTGGAGGGGAACAGTGGCGAGACAGGAGTGATCATTTGAGCCATGTGGGTCACCTCCCTGTCCACCTCAAACTTGCACTGCAGTGGCTGTGGATAGCTCCATACCGCTGCACTTCGACTCGTTGCACCACCAGGGAGGTCCCATCTTTGCAATCTTAGGGTCAAATTTTCTCAGACCATCACGAAGACTAAGCTTACCTAGAAATAAGCACTTTATGGGACAGCAAAGCATGAAAGATCTATTTATTTATGCATACAGAACTGGGGTACAGGCCAGAGGTGCAGGGTGTGAAAGGATTTACCAGAGACAGATTGGGGAGCAGAACAGGCAGATCCAAGTACACTGCTGAGGGGGCAGCAGGCCAGTCAGCAGAGGTCTGCTGTGCCATGTGGGTCACCTCCCTGGCTGGAATCAAACTCGTGCTGAAGTGGCTTTAGCTTCATAGTGCTGCGCTTTAACCCACTGCGCCACCAGGGAGGGCCCTGCTTCATCTTTGCTGCATCTGTAAAATGGGAAAAACAATGAGCCTACCTATGGAATTTTGAGCAGGGCTAAGTGGAATAATGCACCTAAGAGGCTGAATATGGCACCTGGCACATAGTGTGGCTCAGTAAAGGCCACCTGCCAAGTGTTTGGTCTGGACCACTAATCAGAGTGTGAGTGCCTGTGTGGTGTGACGCCACCATGCAGCTGTAGTAGGGCTTGCGGGTGCTTCTGTCAGCAGAGAGGGGGGCGGGGTTCGCCCAGACTTCCCTGTGCCTGGTGGAAGCAGGGTGGCCTGCGTGTCCCAACAGAATGCCGGAGCGACCTAATCTGCTTTGGCGGCAGTCATCAGTATACCTCAAAGCTGGCTCTCTCCTACAGACAGATGTGCTGTACAAAGCCTCCAGAACCACTGTGAGGGCCTGGCCTTCCTCTGATCTGCATAATAGGAGGATTAGGAGCCTGTATCTTGAACACTTTCCCATGGCAGGGATATTTAAATGTTTTTCTTGTAACGTTGCAGGCAACTCCTCTGACTTTGTAACCAAATGAAGGAAGAGAAATGCCCTTTCTTTAAAATATACATGGAAATAAATACCCCAACTGTGACCCTGACTCAGGTAAACCATTAGTCCTAGTTTGAATGGAAGGAATGAGAGCTCACAGACCAGCAGCTCCCTGGCAGCCTGTGGAGGCAGGTCCTGGTTCCCCACTTGACCCAACCCAGCCTCAAAGCCAAAGGCTAGCAAGCTGAGAAGACACCCCTCCCAGTTCAGTGAACAAGATAAAGACATAATTCTTGTTGCTGTGGACAAAAAGAAGTTATGCAAATTCCATGGCACACATCCTTCCACAGGGCTAAGTTAAAAAAATAATTGTAATACTCTCTGTTTTTTTCCCTGTACATCTATTACCTACTCAAATACAATTGATGAACCATTCACTTACATAGAGCCAGGCCACCAAAGGTGACCGAAATGTAGGCATCAAGCAAGCAGCTCTTCCACAGCTCAGAGCTCTGGCAAGGTATCCCCCTTTTTGTTAGCTCTAGTTTCCCTACAAATTGGATGGCCATGTGGCAGCATCATCCATGGCATTTCTGGAAGACTCTATGTTGAAGCAGTTGCCTAACTATAGTTAATTGTGGTTGATGACATCCCCTGCTTATCAACTCTTGGTTCCTGAAAATTTTACTGTCTCTGTACTACACTAAAGCACAGGCCACACAGCCATATGTTGGCAGAATGTTCCTGATGGCCTGGTCTTCCCCTGGGTAGGTTTGGCTTTGAGCTTGGTGCCATGTTGGTATGTTCCCCCCACCCCAACACACACAAACCTCATGCCAATCAGTCGGGAGTCCAGGCCCTGGGAAAGGAATAAATGAATGTAAACTGGGGTCTCACAGAGCCAGTGGGCAGCCCCAGCCATTGACCTGGTCTTTAGTGTGGCTGATGCTTGGGCAGCTTCAAAAAGAGGAAATGAAGATAAGAAAACATGAGTGGATAGAAAACCTCATGACCCAGAACATGGGGATCCTTTCCCGGAACATCTCATGCAATGTCAGGAAGGTGGTGCTGAATTGGAAGAGGGCCAGAGGACTCTGGGAGGGAAAGGGGAAGCAGCAGAAGGCATCCCTTCACCCTAGAGAGAAGCAGAGAGAGCAGCTAGGTTTACTGGTGTGACCTGGGTTGGAGCTGCCAGAAGGAAATGCCCTGGGCAGTCAGGAAGGGAAACAGAGAAAGTTGTGCTGGCTAGAGTTGATACCATCTCTATGAAAATGGCCTCCAGGTGCATTTATTTGGGTGAGGACCAGGTGGGGAAATGGGGAGCACAGTTGGTGATTGGAGCAGACAGTATGTCTCAGCATGGGGCCAGCTCTGGCATGGCAGTTTTCTCAGAAAGACTCCAGCGAAGAAGCTGCTGTGTATGTTGAAATGAAAGGGCGCAAAGTCACCAAGTTTCCTAAGGGGAGGGGGAGACAAAGTCACCAAGGGTTCTAAGACCTAAAGAAAGAGAACTTGAACTTGAAAGCAGACTAGCAATACTAAACACAGGACCCAAGCACAGGGCAGGAGTTGGGGTGGAAGGGGAAAGACTTTACAATGTTGAGGGACCCAGGGACCTGGCACCATGCAGAGCTGTGAGGCCCAGGGGACTTGGTCTCTCTCAGAGAGAGAGATAGGGCTGGAGGGCTGGCCCAGCACACTTAGCACTCCTGTCAAGCTGGCTACATTTTCTTCACACAGTAGTTCTGCATTTCCAAAAAGTTTGGTGCTCTTTGTCAAACCTGACTTACAGATTTTATTACAGGAAGCGGTTGCCAGCAGGACCCCATTTAATGACTTGAGCAAATTTTATTACTTGGAAATTCACTTTAGCTTTTATTTCAGATCCTAAAGAGCACCAGAGTGACACAATAGCTAATCACACAAAGGGCTTGTTGGGAAGAAGGCTTCCTACTCTGCAATTTCAGGCCCGGGTTTGATTAATAACCATAAAAATGTTAACGTGCAGTGACTTGAGCAATGGTGCAGGAAGCTGTGGTCAGGCCGCCTTGCTGCCTCTCCACAGGCTGCCTTTGTGTGGGCCCTGGTGAGGAGAACTATCTAACAGCCAACTCAGAGCTGACATCATGGGGTTGCCAGAGTCACCTTAAGAGCTCCGACACCATAAACGTGGCACTGGACCGGCCAAGGAGCTGACAGGCAGGGTGTCAGCCGCCCGTGCATTTCAAGCATGTGTGTCTCTCTCTCTCTCTCTTGAAGTGGTTTCACAAACAACACATTTCACAAGTGCAATAACCATTCTCTGGAGCTAATATGAGCTGGCAAGACACTCCTCTCTCTAGTAGCAGCCTTGCTTTGCCCTAGGGCTGAGATACAAGTACTTCCTCAGCATTGTGTGTAAGCTTAAAGATTTAAATTTTACTCAAACCAGCTGGTGTATGGCCCTGCTTTGCCACCAGCCGTCAGTACTATTTCCAGTCCATCTTCTTCTGGGCAGGTACGCAAAGATGCCTTCAATGAAGCTGTGTCCCACAATTTTGGTCCTAAGAGGAAAAGGAAGAGAACAGTGAGTAAGTGAGAAGAAGCTCTTAGGGAAGTCAGACTCCCCACACCCTCACCAGCACCTCCTTCCCTGTTTCAGAGTCCTTGTGTAGCCAGCTGGAGCCCCATGGATTATCTTCTCTCAATTATCTGATGTTGACATTCACCAAGGGTTCGCTGAATACTTCTATCTGTCAGGTAGCCCTTTCTGAATGTACCATCCCATTGTATCCCAGGGAGGGCAGTTTGTCTGACATGGGATTTTGTTCTGTTGAGTATTTGCATGAATTCCTGTATCATCTGAGGCAAGGCCCTGTGGTAGGCAGAATGATGGTCCCTAAAGATGTGCACATCTTAATCTCTGAACCTCTGAGTGCAATACCCTATGTAGAACATGAGACTTTGCAGATACTGTTAAGAATCATGAGATGGGGAAGTTATCCTGGATTATCTGGAACGTAAATGTAATCAGAAAGGGCATTAAATAGCTCTCTGGCCCACCTTTAACTGTGCAGGTGTCGCTTTTTCTGTTTCTTAATAAACCTGTCCTTTAAATATGTTAAAAAAAAAAAAGAAAAGAAAAGAAAAGAAAGAAAGAAGAGGGAGGCAGTGGAGGTTGAAGAAACAGATGTGACCAGTAAACCTGAGTTGGAGCCATGTGACCACAAGAGGTTCAACAACTAAATGAGAGCCCGGTGAACATCAAGCGTCTGTTAAGTACTCCTTTGGTTCTCACAATCACCCTCTAAGATCGGTATGATTTTAGCCCATTTACAGTTGGGGAGACTGTAGCACAGAAGGCCTCAGCAGCCTACTCTAAGTCATCCCCTCAAAGTCCGAAGGAATCTTGAGGCCTAGCTACTCTATACTGCTGCCCCTGGGCACAATCAATCCTACAGCAATGTCAGTGACATGGGAAGACCACAAGTGGGCAGCCTGTAGAGCCTGGGGAACTGCCCAGATGTCCCCCTCTCTTCCTCCAGCCTCAAAACCTGTGACTGTGGCCTCCTCATGGTCAGGAAAGGCCCTTTAGCCCAGAATTCTTCATTCTGCTTTTTTTCCCCAGTCTGGTAGCCATTCTTATCTCCTGCTGCAAGGGGACTCTCCCAAACCCCTGGGCAGATAAAGGGCATAGGAACTGAGGAGTCACAGCATCCAGGAGCCTTCCCCAAATGCCCTCATACCACACAAATAGAGCCACACACAAAAAAAATCTAAGTACATTTCCAAAGACTGTCTTCATCGCTGGCCAAGCTGGAAACTGGTGAATGGTCGTGATGGGATTTTGGACAGTTGACAACTGGTTAACACATTCTTTTTCACCAGGGAAATTGAGACTTTGATTTTCTGTTGGAAGCACAGGAAATCCTAACTGTCTGCAAGGCCAGAGCACAGAAAATGAGCCCCTCCAGGCCAGCAGTCTGTGGGCCATGTTGAATGTCTAGACGATTGGGTCTGTGTTTGCTCTGCCATTCACTTGGAAACCCTGACACACTGATTGGTTTACCTGCTGTCACAGGACGCTGGCTCTCAGGCTCCATTCCTTGCTCCTCCTACCTCAGAGTCAAGTTCATCCTTCGGCATTTTCTGGTAGAGCAGACTGCTCAAGCCTTAAATGCACTAGCAAATGGGCAGGTTCGTCTTAATATGTTAACTTACTGGAGAATTATTTTGGGAGAACATAGCAATGTTTCTCTTGCTCTGATCAGGAGCAAGTTTAAAGAAGAGTGGAGGAGAGCATCCCAAGCATCTGCTCTTAGACCTTGGAGGAACACTCTTCTTTTCCCTCTCCCTCCATCCTGGACACCTTAAATGCACTTCTAAATAGAGCACCTTCCATCACTTTCTCAAATTGTTCTGACCAGAGAAGGCAGAACAAGGAAAGGATTGCCCTAGAGGATGTGCTTTTTCAGACCTATGGTTTCTACTTTAGTTTCCGTGTCAGGCCAAGAAGAAGCCATTAATCTTTAACAGAACCGATTTTGCTGATGAGAATTCAGTCACAGGTTCCCAAATTGGTCACTCCCATGCAGGGAAGACAAGGACATTGGGAGACCCACATCACTATGCCCCAGCCCTGTCTCGCCACAGGCTGTGTGTTCTCCCCAGGGCCGAAGCCTCAGAAGTATGGTACAGTAGACAGAACAGGGCTGCTAGTTCAAAAGGGCTTGGTCAGGGGTGTTTCATTGCCAGGCAAGCTGGTTCTGGGAAGGCCTGGTGTTGTCTGGAGCAGTGAAACTGCCAGTTCTGTACCCCTTCTAAACCCCTGGACTACTGTGTTAGGCTGAGAGAAGCTTCTACTCATGCAGGATGGCAGGAATATAAGGACAAGAGGACTAGGAGAAAGTTTCCTGGCAGAAAACCACTTGGGTGTGCCAGGGAAGGCCTTCAACTGGGGGCCTGCACCCCTATGAGGGGTGGCACACCTCTGCAGCCAGCCCCCGTGGACAAGGGTGCAGAAAGGCCACCTTGAAAGGCACCGAGAGTACTGACGCAGCCAGCTCTGACCCCACTGGAGAGAGCCCATGTGTCCTCTCCTTGTCAAGCCTTCCAGCCCGGTCTGCTTTCTGCCAAGTGCATGTGTTTTCAAAATTCATGGAAAAGGGATTGGATTTTAAGGAATAGGAGGAGACTCATAGGCCACTTCTATCCTACTGTGATCTTAAGATATTCCTTCTCGCCTCAAGAGTCCTGCAGCTGATTCCATCCTAAGTCCTCAGCTCTAAGGTACCTCTACTCTGAGCCTTTTCTGCTTAGATCTGTTCCATTCCCTAGCCCCTTAACCCTCTGCATCTCCTGTGTCAACTTCAAAGACACACACACACACACACACACACACACACACGGCCACGGAAACTGGTGAGTTTACATGTTAGGAGTTTGACTTCATTTGTTCTTAGTGAAATCCTAATGAGGTCACCAGAGCTGATGAATGCTCTCCTAGTTGTCTGCAATGGAACTCAAAAACTAACATCCTGCTGGGAGAAGAGGCTTTGACCAGCGTGACCTGGGTGCTAAGGCAAGGCTTATGCAGTGTCCTTGTGCACAGGGGTCCCCAGAGATGAGGAAGGCTTTGAGGCAAAGACCCATCCCCCAGCTATGCTTCTTGAGCTTCATGGAATGGCATTCAGGTACTTTGGGCTTTGAAAGACTTGACCTAATCCCTCCTCCCCTAATCCAGCCACAGAGCCCAAGCATTTATCAGAGAAAGTTTCCTTGGTTTTAGCTAGAGATTGGCAGGCAAAGTCCCTCTTTGAATGAGTACTGTTCTGTACCTTCACACTAATCCCACTCCTGGAATTGTGTTTGTGAGTGTACAATTGGAAGGAACCTTAGAGATCATCTAGTCTAACTTCAACCCATTTTATAGATCAACAGACTGAGACACAGAGAAAAACAGACCTTCAGAGTCATTCTACTATGTCCTGATGGATTAAGCCAAGTATCCTGATTCTAGTAGTTTTTTTTTGTTTTTTTTTTTTTACTTTTTGCTGCCTTTGAAAGGTCAAGTATCAATTACATCTCACTTTAGTTGTAGGAGATAACTTTAGTTTCCAAAGATACTTGGATACTTGAGCATCCAAGCTACTTGACAGACAGTCAAGGTTAAGTCCTGAGACCACTATGCTATGTAAACCTTGTAAGTACAGGGATGGAAAGTAGAAAGGAATAGGATGAGATGAGGACTGGGAAAGGAGGAGGCCAGTAGGTAGGGGAAGAGAACAGGGCAAGGAGTATACACAGCTTGTCACTTCTCAGTGACATTTCTGGAGGGAATCCATTTCTGGAAAAGAGACACCTGTAGCCCCCTGGAAGCCTTAAAATTTCAGCTAACCTATCTCTGAAACAACCCCCTGGATAGCAGATAAACCAGGCTTCATCTCCATATAACTCACCAGGGCTTTCCCAAGATGACTTCACTTATATCAAGAATACCCTGGGCTCACTGTGAGCACCACCCCCTCTCCGAAGCTCAAATTCTTCAGCTCCTGCCTGCCTCTTTTCTGGTGATGTCATTAAACATTCGGTGAGAACCCCACAGTGAGCAGTTGTGTGGCAGGTGAAGTCTGAGTGCTCCTGTCCCAGAGGGCAGATCCCAGTATAGGGAAGGAAAGGGTTAGGACAGTGTTGCCTGTGGCCCACCGAGGAGTTGCTGTGCTCTGAGGCCTGCCATGTGGCGTGACCTCACACAGAATCTGGGGTTCACCTTGGAGCAGATCTTTCTTAGGTGTAAACTTTTGTGCGAGTCACTTTTTTGATGTTACTTGAAATTCTCAGAATAATGGGTGAGCTGCTGCTGTGTGCTTCAGGCCTCCTGAAGGTAAGGAATGTTCTATGATGGACCTGCTTGAGCCAGGAGTAGAGCAAATCTTATGTTTGTCTTGTTAAATGCTTTCAAAGTTTAAAACTATCTACTGCCAATCTTATTTACATCCAGAAGTCAGAGAGTCTTGCACACTGGCATTATGGGCTGCCTTCTGGAAGGACAGTGGGACAGATGAGGGATGACGGTAGATAGAGAACTATTTGCTGCATCATCCTTTGTGTTCTTGAAACCATACACACGTTAATTGATTAAAGTTTTGTTTTTAATTTAAAGACATTTAACAAAAACCAGCCATCTTGATAAAAAGGAGTTTAGTTTCTATACCAATTTTAAAAGCTTTTAAGTTGCTGTGAAGACTGAGAAAAAGGTGTTCATGTATCCATGCTCTCTGTCTTGGTTATGAATCAGTGAGCTGGAAGCCCAGAGACATTTCATCCAGTCGCCATCACACACAACAAATACACAGGCTTCACAGATGAGGAAACTGAGGTCCAGAGACGAGGCGGGGTGTCTGGAGGCGTTCCCATTAGTTAGAGACAGACTTAGACTGCTGTCCCCCTCCTCCCTGCTGCCTCTCAGGAATGGCAACCGCTGGGTTGGCTCCGGTGAGTTCTGTGGGAGATTCGTTTTAGGTGAGTATGTTTGCTGATCTCACTACTGAATATGCTGCCTCGGGCCTCTGATTGTTTCCGGTTGCATTTCTGTGACTGGAACTGTGGGGAACATTCTACATAGCTGAGCAGCAATAAGTTCCTTGCCATGACAGGCACAGACCTGACTTAGCAAATGGTCTCTGAGAGTAGGAATTTTGTCTGCCTTTGCCTTCCTTGTCTGGGGTGAACACTTCTGGGAAAGGGGCCTGAAGATGCGCGTGCAGGAGGGAGCCCTGCCTAACACACTTGTGCATGTCTCCTTACAGAGTCATCAGTTATGAGTGCTGTCCTGGTTATGAAAAGGTCCCTGGAGAGAAGGGCTGTCCAGCAGGTGAATGAGGCAGGCCTGGCCTGGGGGCATGGGTGGGAGAGAGATGGGGAGCACAGAGACATGTGCAGAGTCTGCGCGGGCTTCCATAGGATGAGGCTATGAGGCTGGGTGGACGGTCTCCTCACAGTCCAGTCTGGACTTCATGCAAGGGGCAGAGGATGGAAGCTGGGAACTGGGGTTCCTGCGCCACCCCTTCTTGTTCCCACTGGTCCAAACAGGCTGGCGGAACAGACTCCAATTCTGACCTGCCTGCACTGCCCTCATCAAGCCCAGGCTCCTGGCCTTGCTGTCTTTGGCTGAGAGGAATTTCAGATACAGCCAGCATTTCAGACCAGCACTGCTGGAGAGCAGATGGGACAGACTTGGGCTGGGCTGGGCTGGGAACGCCAAGCCACTCCCCACTCCCTGTCGAAACTTGGCCCATTGGTGTTCCTGGGGGGAGGACAGCGGCGGGCCAAAGGCTTACCCAGAGTCAACAGAGGTGCCACGAAAGGCCACACAGGGCCAACGTCAGCGTGGCACCTGCCAATTTATCAACACATCACCACAGACGGTGCAGGGGAGATTTTTATGACTTTGAAATATTTGCTATTTTATTAGTTGAGAATGTGAGACTGAGATTTAAAAGGAAGGCTGTGATTTAGCTGCTGCCAAGGTCTTGAGGAGGGTGTGATTGGCGTGGACTGGGGCTGTGGAGTTACTGACCTAATGGAAGGACAGGCGGAGGACATGGAAGGAAAAGAGGAAGAATGACTTCAGAGAGGCAGCTTAACCTCTGAGCCTCATTTTCACACCCTTCATAGAGAACATTAACCTCACTGTGAGCTTACCAGGCCCTTCTAAACCTTGGGCTACTTTGAGGAAATAACATGTTATTGCTTGTACATACACAAAGTAGCACAATGATTTGTCAAGCTCTTTCAGTCTAATGGAGCCCACTAGGAACCAGTTTCAACAACAAGATAAATCTAAGGCTTGTTGGTAATTAGGATTGTGTTCTGGTGTACATTCCTGCCTATATTATCGAAATGTCTATGAACAAAAACTGTTCTGCTATAGCTCAAATGGTTAGAAATGAGCAATTAGTTGAGTTCAGGCAGAGAGGCAGTTGACGTAGGGAGTTGTTTTAAGAGACACTGAACAAACTTTGGGCTCTGTAACGACTGGCTGCGAACACACTCTTTACCCACAGAGGTACTTTCCTCTTTGGCTGACAGGGAGGGGTTAGTCCGGTTGGGGTGGGATCCACTCGTTCACCCCTCATCTTTCCTCTACCCCTGCAGCCTTGCCACTGTCAAACCTTTACGAGACCTTGGGGGTAGTTGGCTCAACCACCACTCAGCTGTACACGGACCGCACAGAGAAACTAAGGCCTGAGATGGAAGGACCCGGCAGCTTCACCATCTTTGCCCCAAGCAACGAGGCCTGGGCTTCCTTGTCAGCTGTGAGATGACTTCCTTCTGCTCAGGGGTCTCTTCCTGGGGGCTGCCTGGCTTTTCAGAGGGTGGGCTGGTGGCCATGAGGAAAGGGAGTCCAGTGAAGTCCCACTGTTGAGTGGAACGCTCCCTTGAGGCCTCAGATGAAGGCAGGACCCTTGAGCTGAAATATACACACTGGGTGGCTTGCGTGCTCCTCCCAGACAATTGAACAGACAGACCTCAGTGCTTATCAAGGATGAAAATGGTGGCCTGGGGGTCACAGGGCTTCAGAGGCATATCCCTAGGGTAGCAAGGACACATCTCTTGAATGTGGGGTCTGCAGCAACCACCCCCTCCACCACCACCACCAACAACAATCTATCCTTTCTCTTAGGAAGTGCTGGACTCTCTGGTGAGCAACGTCAACATCGAGCTGCTCAATGCCCTGCGCTACCACATGGTGGACAGACGGGTCCTGACGGACGAGCTGAAGCATGGCATGGCCCTCACCTCCATGTACCAGAACTCAAATATCCAGATCCACCACTATCCCAACGGGGTAGGGATTGGCCAGCGTTGTACTTTGCCCACTCTCTGCTGACTTGTGCTGGGATCTGAGTTTTGACCTTCAGTAGAGGACGCTGTACATAATCCTCTGCCTCCTGTAACTGCTTCTCCTCAAAGCCACATTCTGTACCGCGCACCCCTCCTGGGGCTCCATGTCTTTTGGGGCGTGTGATGTGCTAACCTCTCATCCTCGCTTCTCCTTGGCAGATCATAACCGTTAACTGTGCCCGGCTGCTGAAAGCTGACCACCATGCCACCAACGGTGTGGTGCACCTCATCGATAAGGTCATCTCCACCACCACCAACAGCATCCAGCAGATCATTGAGATTGAGGACATCTTCGAGACCCTTCGGGTGAGGCTCAGGGAAGAGACCCAGCCCAGGGACACGTAGCTACCCCACAGGAGAGGAGGATGCACCTTTGGGGGACATGGAGCAGGTTCCCCTAAAGTGCCTGTGAATATGATCAATCCTCTCATAGACACTCAGCTTAACCACGAGGAAACTTCATAGTGCTCTTCTGGAAAAGTCCTTCTTCCTGCCTTCTCCTTTGTAGAGCTTCTCTTTCCTCTGCTCCTCTGGGAAATTCAGTGATTTGTGGCTACAGCTGAACAGCTCTCTGAGCCCAGAGTGGGGAGGGCTTTCCTCCCAGATGGTGGTTCCCACATGTGAGACTAGAATAAATGGCCTGTTAGGCTGCATGATGCTTCCGGGCTACCTGTCCCCACTGAGGCCCCTGCCTCAGCTATGTGCATGCTGGTCTGGGGACCACAGAGGGGCCACCAGCAGAGTAGACACAGGAGTCTGGGGCTTGCCTTGCCACCTGGCTGGGGACAGGTCAGGGGCCACCAGAATACTGCTCCCACCGTCTGCCTCCAGGCATGTTGTACGTGTGGACTGGCAAGTGGGCCTTCCTCATGGTCACGGCTGCTCAGGGGAAAGTGGACACAGGCTGCTGCATCAGGATTTTTGCCCTGATTCAAGGAGAATTTCCTGACCACAAAAAACACCAAGTAGGAGTGGGGTAGTTCCTCCCCTGGAGATCTCCAGCTCATAGAGGCCAACACCCATGGCCCTGCTGGCATGATGTGGCGCCAGGAATGGCTGTGGACAGCTCTGGAGACCCTGGGTTTCTCAACTCTTCCCTCTGGTCTCCTTCTGGGTCTGGCAGGGAAGGGTGTCCCCAAAGTTGGTGGCGTGGTCCACTAATAACAGCTGCTCCCAACTCATCAGCTCCTCTTCCCATTTTGGTTTGGCCAGTCTTCCTTCTCTCTCCTTACCCTTTGGCTCTTCCTGATGCCCATCTTGCCTTCTGTCAATACCACACTTACTAAGAGCCAGGCGTCATGACAGGATAGAGAGGGGAACGACACCAACAAAGGTCTGCCCTGAGTGTCCTTTTATGTTTGTCTGGAGAGACAGACAGGTAGCCTTGGGTTTTGCCAAGCGTGAGATCAGTAAGTGGTGGCTCCTTCCTGGGGGGAGGCCAGTCGGGATTGGCTGGCAGTGTAGATCTCTCTGGAAAGAATGACTATGAACTGAGGCCTGAGCATGAGGCCAGTTATACAAAACGCAAGAGCAAAGCACCCCTGGCAGCAGGGCGAGCAAAAGTAAAGGCTGAGGCCAGGATCCACAGGGAGACCAGCCAGGCCAGCGCCAAGAGCACTAAAGAGCCAGAGGTGAGGTGGGAGCCAGCATCTTGCTGCTCGGCCCAGAGTCCTCCTCCATCCTGAGCGCTTCAGGAAGCCGTTCCTGCTTCTAGATCATATTCTGGCTGCTCTGTAGAGGATGCTTATGTGATCTTTACTCTCGTGGGCTCAGTCAAATAATGTTTACCCAGTAACCAATGACCATGAAAGAAAGAAAACATTTTCTTCTTGGGGTGGGATGGGGCTAGAGAGTCATTGTCAAGTTGGCCTTAGAGAGAAAGGATAATTTGGTCGAGACCCAGAGAAGGCACAGCAGCAAGGGATGCAAATTGGACTAAAGGCAGAGGGATGGCACGGGCAAAAGCCTGGAGGGGGGAGAAGTAGGACACCAGAAGTGTCTGAGAGATGCCCCATGGCTGGAGCTCTGTCCTGGTAAGGCATGGGGAGGGCATGGGGAGAGATGAGCTTTGGTTCTGCTTGTCTTTTCATGGCAGGATTCTACAAAAGCCTGCAGCTCTCCAAAGGAGTACTGGTGAGGTTGCATCTTGTCTGCAGGGAGCCCCAGAGTTTTCAGGGGAGTCTCCATCTTCTCTCCCTTCCCAACAGGCTGCCGTGGCTGCATCAGGACTCAACACGCAGCTCGAAGGGGAAGGCCCCTTCACACTCTTGGCCCCCACAAATGAAGCCTTTGAGAAGATCCCTACTGAGACCTTGAACCGGATTCTGGGCGACCCAGAGGCCCTACGCGGTGAGCACCCTCAGCTTCTGCTGGTGCCTTACGGTGACCAAGTTGAGCCCAAGGTCTGCAGTGGTCCAGACAGACTGCCACCCACCTCCTATCCCCTTTTGCTCAGCTCTGGTGCAGCAGCCAAACCCTACCCTGTTCACATGGGCAGGTGTGGAATCCAGCAACCTTTGTGTGGGGACGGAGTTGGGCTGAGGAGGGAAGCAGAGTCAGTGGTCCAGACCAGGCGCTGGCTGCGCAGGGAGTATTGCAGGCCAAGTGTAGGGAGAGCAAGGCAGGGCCTGCATCCTAGAAGTGGAAGCAGCTGGCCGACCCTTGAACTCTTGCTCTGTCTGGCCAGGGCCCTCATCCAAAGTTACAGTTAAAACTCGGCAACACAGGGGTGATTTGGTGATGGGAAACCCGTGGGGATTACAATTGAGATGAAAAAAAAAATGTGCAAAATGATGTAAAAATAAACTTTTTAATAAAAAAAAAGGAGGAATTGGTGATACAAAGGGTTAAGAAAAAAAAACTCGGCAACAATCATCTCGATAATCTTTGCTGGTCTTCCTCAGTGACCCTCTAAGTTAAGGGGTGCACTGATTAATACTGGAGCAGAGGAAAGGAGCAAGCTGGAGCAAGGTTAGGAGGGGAGATGAGCTCTGAACCCCCACTTCCCTTGATGCTCGTTGATCCCGGAGTCTTTTACATAGGGAGCTGGCCCAGGTCCCCCGTGCACCCAGACACGCTTATTCCTTCCAAATAAAGTGCAGGGGTGACTTCATTTCTTTTCAGTCTATTTAAATCTGCCTTTGAAATGTGCTATATAAAGTGCCTAATGCATGTCAGACATTTTATAAATCTAAAGCATTCTCCTTCGATGCATTCAGACATGGGAAGACCTTTTTTTTGAAAGCATACATGGGGATCTCCTGTGGCCAGACGCTGTGGGGCCTCTGTGGGGCCTGTGCCAGGGACTGAGGGCGCAGAAATGAATGCAGCACAGCCCTAGCCCTCATTGAAGTGCAGACAGGCCCTTGGAGTCTGATGTGGTGAGCGTAGTGACAGAGACCCACCCATCTTCATGGGGGTGACAGCGGGGGTCCCAGAGGCCCCTTGGAGGAGAAGAGACTCCTGCTTTTTGGCATATTTAATATTCCATTTAGAGCTATGCCTCCCTTCCCTGATAAGTTTTGTACAGAGCACACTTTATCTTCATAGCTGTCAGGACTCCTTATAAAGTGAAAGAGGAAAACATCCCAAATTTATCCCTTTCGCACATCTGTCTCTTCCGGTTCAGTAACCTGTTTGTTCAAAACTGGAACCCTCTGTTTGGGGCTGTTGCTGGCAGCCCCAAAGGGCAGGAGTCCACCACCCACAGTCTCCTGCTGTCTCTGGTGAGTGACAGATGAGCCTGTAGCAGCCCAGGCTGGTGAGCCCCGTTAAAGACTGACTTCCAGCCCTCGCCCTGCTCACCCTTGGAGTGGGTCTGGGAGGTCTCCCGGCACCCTCCGACTGTGGTCTCCAGTTTCCTTCTCTGAAGGGGGGATTAAATCCCCAGGCTCATTCCCAGAGCAGTCTCTAGCCCTCTCTCTTCCCCACTGGCCAAATCCAGCCAGCTCTGCCTTTCAGAGCTCTTGCCACTTCTCCAGAGCCAAGGCTGCAGGGCCTCCACGCTTCCTCCTGTCTGTGACAGTGTGGTTTTGGTTCCCACACTCAGTACAAATTGAAACTTGCCTCTGGGCGAACATTTGCAAGACAAAAGGCTGCAGAGAGCAGCAGTCAGGAACCTGTTCTGCTCTGAGGAGCTGGGGGCACTATCTGACTGCCCCTTCCAGCTTGCTCTGGAGTGCCCCTGCCCTCCAGGACTCTCCCTAACACAGCACATGGATGCGTAAATAAACATTGTGTTATGACTCCAGATGGGGTGGAAGGGACCTAGTTCATCACCATCCCCAACTCTAAGAGAAACCCTGGCAGCTGATAGATCGTTGGTACAATGAACAAAAACAAAATGTAGGAATAATTTAAAACCGTCACTTGCTACACTTTTGATCTTTACGTTTGTGTAAAGGATAATAACATCCCAGGGTAGACTCATTTCCCTTGTCCTTGAAGTTCAAGTCCTAATAAGCGACTTCCTAAAGTTTGTTGGACACTGACTCTGTTGTCAGGCACTGAGTGGGGTGCCTTACATTCTGAATGTCATGTCACCCTTATTCCAGCCCCAAAAAAATGACTGCTATTTCTTCACTCTTGTGTGATGAGGCAGTTGAAACTCAGAGTCCTGTCTTGTCCAGAGTCCCATAGCCAGTAGGTGACTAAGCTGAGATTCAGTCAGGCAGCCTGAGAGATTCAGGAGGCAGGAGAGGAGCAGGGTCCAAGCCCTGGGGTGCCCAGTCCTGTCTGAAGGTCAGCATCAGAGAGAGTAGAATGCTTGCCATCACCAGCAGGTCCCAAGCTGACCTCTGGGGTCAGCCTGCTGTGGGCCTGACTTCACTCCTATGCTGTTTGACCCCCAGACCTGCTGAACAACCACATCCTGAAGACGGCCATGTGTGCAGAAGCCATTATTGCAGGGATGTCTGTGGAGACCCTGGAGGGTACCACGCTGGAGGTGGGCTGCAGTGGGGACAAGCTCACCATCAATGGGAAGGCCATCATCTCCAATAAAGATGTCCTGGCCACCAACGGTGTGATCCACTTAATCGACGAGCTGCTCATCCCTGACTCAGGTCAGCCAGTCTACCATCCATGATGGCAGGACAGGGGGCTTGGGGCTCACCAGGAACTCTTTCCCACCTGCCCCCACTGCACAGCCCCTCAGCAAAGAAGACCTGGGGCCCAGAGGGTGGAGGTTAGCTTGTGAGGAGACTCAAGCTGCAGGCATGAAATTTCAGATACTATCTTGGAGGCAGTAGGGAGCCATAGAAGGCGTCTGGGGAGGGAGTGGCTGGTCCAGAGTCTTTCAGACCTGCCTGCTCTAGTTGGCACCCATAGAGAGCACCCTGCTGACTTCAGAGTGTTCCTTTCTCAATGGTGCGCAAGCCATTCAAATGTCACTGACCCAAGAGAAATGACTGCATGGACTTTGACATGTTTCGTTGAGCTTTCTAGCCCCATTCTGAAATTCCAGGGAGGTCCATGTCCAGGAGTGGAGGAATTTCACAGGAAATAAACCAAAACAGACAGCATCCTTTCTATAGCTGTGGTCACCGGCTATATCTACCCTCCAGCAGCCGTGACACAGTGTCCCCAGCATCAGACAGTTCCTTGACCAAGGCCTGGGCATGGAGGCTGATCTCTGCAAAGTGAACCTCACCTCTCTTCCCGGGCCAGTGAGATTTTCTGGGCAACTGTTCCTGCGATGACACAAGCCCATTGTGCCACAGCCACATTCAGAGGGGTTATTGACTCACGAGGTGACATTCCTGCTGATGTGTGTCATGCTCTGGGGTGGATGAATGATAAATGAAAACAGCACTTTTAACTTTTGAACCCACTGTCTTCTTCCTTGTAGCCAAGACGCTATTTGAGTTGGCCACGGAGTCTGACGTTTCCACAGCCATTGACCTTTACAGACAAGCCGGCCTTGGCAGTCATCTCTCCGGAAATGAGCGGTTGACTCTCCTGGCCCCCCTGAATTCTGTATTCAAAGGTAATGTGGGGAGGCTTCCCTGTTGCTTTGTCTCCGGGGGCAGCTGCCTCGTGGCTGTCAGCGCCACCACTCTGTCCAATTTACAGCACCCCGCGGAACCTTAGCGCTTCCACCCAGCTCAACCGAAAGCAGATGTGACTTCATCAGAAACTTCTGTTGTTTCATTTGGCAGAGCAGAGCATGCATTTGGGGATCTGATGCTCGGAATTTCAGAATTTGCATCTGTCAGGAGAGTGGAACACTCCCTCATCTTTTTGTTTTCAGGGCCTGTTGCCAGCGTGAGAGCAGGGGGTCAGCGTGAGGGTGCAGCCTTGGGAGGGCAGACACGGCCGTGTACCTCTGTGCCTTCAGGGCAGGGCTCCAACACGCTTGGTTATCTACACCTTCTCTTGTTTTTTAATTTGCAGAGGATGCCAGATGTCCAAGAGTATTGGCGGCCTTGCTTGATTTCTCAACCTTCATTTCCAAACCCGAGGAGGGGAGGGCGGGCCTTCTCACTGTATTTGTGTCTCATTCTCTCCGTCTCCGGAGCACGCTGTGGGCCTGCCATGCCTTCTCTTCTGTTACAGATGGAACCCCGCCCCTTGATGCCCACACCAAGACTTTGCTTCTGAACCATATGGTTAAAGATCAGCTGGCCTCCAAGTATCTGTACCACGGACAGACCCTGGACACCCTGGGTGGCAAAAAACTCAGAGTCTTTGTTTATCGAAATGTAAGTTCTGGGTTCTCACCTTTGTCTCACCTTTAAGAAATGTTGGTGTAAACAGAAATAAAGTCCCCAATAAGCAGGAACTTACATGAGCACTGGTTTCTAGCAAGGGAAGAAGTAATCTCTGGAAAGTATATACCAAAATAGGACCCTGCCGAAGGATTAGATTCTCCACATCTGGGCGCCTTTGGGAAGAGGCTGCACACCTGTACCCTGGTGCCGTTGGCTCATCCGCCTTGAGTGCAGAGGGATGAACGGAGGGAGCAGGGGTGGAGGTCTTGAATCCTTCTAGTTTCAATGAGGAGAAGCTACGCAGCATGGCCATCCTTGAACAGAAAGGTTCTCTCTTCTCTTCTTTCATCTCTTCTGTCTCTTTACGCCCACAGCTACCTTAGAATATCAAACAGGAAGCACAACCCAAAATGGCCCTGGCCTGGGACCAACTAGCACGGCTGTAGTCAGGATACTCTAACAGGATACTCTCATATGGAGTCTGTGTGACTTCACTGGGGCCTCTGTAGCCATGCTTTCTTTAGAGAAAACACACCATTTTATTTTAGTCTTAAAGACGCATCCCAGCACTGATTCATGGATTACTGTTGTCAGCACAGGCCCCCCAAAAATCAGAAGGTCCCTAATATCGGGGGTTACCTATCCTTTCTCGGCCCCTCTTCCGCACAGAGCTTGTGCATCGAGAACAGCTGCATTGCTGCCCACGACAAGAAGGGGCGATATGGAACTCTGTTCACCATGGACCAGGTGCTGACACCCCCAATGGGGACCGTCATGGACATCCTGAAGGGTGACCGTCGCTTCAGGTAAGCAGTCCCGCCTCACCCAGGGGTCATGCTGGGGTTGTCCGCTGGGTCTCAGCTGTTTGTCCAGTTCCCCTGACTCCAGAATAACATTGTCATGACCTTACAAGCTTGGGGTGTGGAAAGGATGAGGGTCACCTTGAAAGCTCACGTTGAGAAAGTTTTCTTCTGTGTGTGTGAGCCTCAAATCCAGAGGAAACAGGGAGGGGGGTTGCGTCATTACTACAGAAGTGCAAGGAAAACATCACACTTCTATTTTTGAGTCCCAAGTAAGCAGAGTGCACTGGGTTTTAAATGTGTGATGGGTCTGTCACTGTCTGCAGTGGCTGCTTAATGCACCTGCGGGTTCCTGAAGCTCTCCTCAGGCTCCCGTCTCACTTTGTGTCCTCCTTGCCCCACCCTCCCCATGTCACCTTGCTCATTCATGGGTGATATCATGTTGAATGCTTCCGGCCCCTGAGTTTAGCTCCCCGGGGGACCACCCATACTCTACCCTCCCTAGAATCCCAGCCCCAGGGCCCAGTGGCTCAGCCAGGTTCTCAGTCCACCATGCCTCTGACCTGTCCCTTCCTCCTACCTCCCCTTCTCACCCCTCCCCCCAGCTTCTGACTTCCGGCCTTTCAGCTGAGCTTGGCCTTTTTGAAGGGAGAAGATGGCTGGCCTCCTTCCCTCTTTGGGCAGGGGGAGGGGGCAAGAACCAAAAGGGGTGGGAACCCCAGTGGTCTGGGTTCCACCTGCCACAGAAATGAGGTACTTGGGAGATGGTGGCCCTCTCCCACCACAGGTGACACTTTCTGTGCCTCCGTAGCATGCTGGTAGCCGCCATCCAGACTGCAGGGCTGACAGAAACTCTCAACCGGGAAGGGGTCTACACAGTCTTCGCTCCCACTGACGAAGCCTTCCAAGCCATGGAGCCAGAAGAACTGAACAAACTCTTGGGTAAAGACCAGATGAAGCACGTGTTCACTTCTTTTAAGTACCTATGTGGGCCAGGTCCCCACAGGAAACAGCTGCATGTTACAAAGGAATTTAATGACAAGACTGCAGAGGTGTGGGCAGGGTGAGGGGAACCAGCAAGACACGATGACGCCCATGGACGGGCAGCCACCCAGAAGCCAGGGAGAGCCAGTGCCTCGGAGGAGGGGGGCAGGGCAGTAGCCAGAGCCACATGCAGCTGCTGTGAGGTCCAGACAAGGGGGCCACATGTGCCCTCAGCCTCCCTCTCCTCCTGCTTCCCAGTTGCTGGCCAGACTCCTGCAAGCCAATTACAGGAGGGCAGGGAGCCTGCATGAGGCCATTCACAGCGGTTAGCCTACCTGGGCACCAGCCAGGCAGAGAAGAGTGGACAGGAACTGAGTGTGCAAAGCCACCAGCCCCTTTGCCAGGGGGCTAATAAAGAAGCCATTTGCTGCATCAGGTGACCTCAGGATGAAAGCTTTACCAAGAAGCTGGTCAGACCTGGAGGCAGCTAGTTGAGGCCTTCAGTGGTGAAGAGCTTGGACTCCCAGGTCACCTGAAAGCTGGTTCACATTCCAGCGCTAGCATCTCCCACTTGGTGACCACTAGCAAATGTGTCAGCTCACTGAGTCTCAGTCTCCTCACTAGAGAAGGAGTGTGAGAGTACCTTGCTCAGTGTGCTGTGAAGATTAAATGAGCACAGTGCAGGGGTCCTTGTCAACAGTGACTGACCTGAGGGGGAACGGGATGGGGTTTGGGTCTGATGATGCCCATGCAAGACACTTCCGCTCCTCACAAAAACTGAACCTGGGAGGAGGAGGAGGAAGGACCTCGACTGGGCCCCACATCAGGGACAGCTCCCTCCCCACTCTGATGCAGGAGCAAAGAACGTTCAGGCTGCTGGCAGCTGTGAGCCGAATTTGTGTCCTGTTTAATTTTCTTTACCACTGCCCAAATGCCTATGTCTCTGATGCTGACGTATGTTCCTGAGAAAAGGGGAGAAGTTCATTTAGAACATAAACTTTCCATCCTCTCCCTATCCAGCAGGAATGGAATATTCCCCAGGTGGCCTGGGCCTGCTTGGCTAGCCTTTCATTTTTATTTGTGTGGAAGCAGAGGAGGGATACAGGAAAAGCCTCCCAAACCCTGCCTCCCCCAGCACCCCTGGAGTGGGAGTGTTAGGGACCTCAGAAGAAGGTCCTTCACAGCCCCCCACAGCCTGGCCAGGCTCAGCGCCTTCAGGCTGCATTTCTGTGGAAGGGAAGCTCCTTCCAGCTCCAGGTTCTGGGTGTTTAGAAATCCCTTGTTACCTGGTGGCCCTGTTCTGTGACACAAACGTGGCCTTGTCATTAACCAAATGAACTCTCCAGAATGCTTTAAAACTTCCTGCATTCTCAGTTTTGAGATGCTAGAAATAACCATGCACAAGCCCTGGGGAAATCCAGCCATTTGGCTGGTCATGTGAGTTAGCAGGGGCTGTCTCGGCAGAGAGGAGAGGGCAGCTGGAAGCCTTGAGAAGCGCCTCCTACACTTAATTTGGGAAATGCCGGTGCACCTTTGTGAGTAATCGCAAGTTTTCCCCCGTTGGTGGAGAGACTGATGTGGGCTGGAAAGAATGCTGAGGCGTGCGGGGAGCGAAGCTGTGGAGGGGATGCCCCCCTGAGTCCTGATCTCATCGGCTCCATAGCTCCTCCAGAGTACAGCTGTTGACTCTTTTAAGTCCTCCCTTCAGGAAACAGCCGTCTCAGAATATGCATTTGAGGGTAGAATGTGTAAATATTTCACTACTGTTATAACTGTCGGGAGCCATGCTGATGATGAAATGTCCCAGATGCCGGGGCTGGAAAGGCTCCTGGCTTTCCAAGCAAATATTTAGTTCATTGAACATGAGTCAGACTCACAGTATGGATTAACTCCTTCTCAGCCTTGCAGGGCACTTGTACCTTACTCAGCAGCCCGAATGCAGGGCATCTGTGGCTATAGGCATGTGCTTGTGCCCCTGTTAGGCAAGTGGTGGGTCAAAGGACAGAGCAGGTGCCAGTGAGGACTGTTTCCTGGACAGAGTGTTCTCCATCTTGGGGGTGCTCACTTGCATGTTCTGAAGGCTTTCTTTGACCACACCAGTCACCAACCTTCGAATTAATTCATTCTGTTTTTCTCGCAAATCTGCAGGCAATGCCAAAGAACTCGCCAATATCCTGAAATACCACATTGGTGACGAAATCCTGGTCAGTGGAGGCATTGGGGCCCTGGTGCGGCTGAAGTCTCTCCAAGGCGATAAGCTGGAAGTCAGCTCAGTAAGTGACTCTGAAAATGAAAGGGCTGGTTGTGGCCTGCCACCGGGCTTCCAGGGCACATCTTTCCCCTGAACAACATTCTAAACACACATAACACACACACACACACACACACCAACAGAGATGCATCTTGAATCTCTGAGTTTGCTTTTCCCAAAGAAAGAAAAGGGCTTTCAGGAATTTAAGAGAGATTATAGTTAGACATGAGTAAGGCCCTCCAGATTTGTGGAGGAACAAAGCATCAATTTGGCATCCAAGAGAGGCTATTAGCTCTTCCTTCCCTTAAGGAGATGATAGGCAATTACTCATATGATTTGCGAGATAAATCCCCAGTTGTCTTCCTACCACCCCCTACACCAAGGACTCACTGAGCTACACCTTGAACCAGGTAACCGTAAGAGGTGTTTTTTGTTTGTTTGTTTGTTTTCTGTGAGTTAATGATTCTGGTTCTACTGTGGAACTGGTTCAGAGAGTCCCTACCTGGAAGAGAAAGAACAGACAGCTTCCATGGCCACCCTAACTTCAACCACTGACTGCCCCTGGGGAGGGACCACTTAGCAGTCTGTGGCTTGGCTTCTTCTCCTGGCCACTCTGGCCTGACCTTCTGCCATGCCTCTGCTCACTGGTTTCCCTCGAGTGTGGGAAGGTATGGACATGAATGACGTGTTTGACATCCCCTGGCAATTTTCCAGCTCCTAGATTTGGGTGTTAGGGTTCTGTCTGTCACAGGCTTCTACTCTCCCTGCCACCTAGGAACTGTCACATGGGTCATTTAGGTGCCTGAGATAGATTCAGGATGGGCGAGGAAAATTGAGATTGGGATTGCGGAGTAGGAAGAGCCTATCACTCAGGATCCTACCGGAGGCTGGCCTCACTTCCCAGATGTCACACCTGTTGAGCTTGAAGGAGGCCGGTGGCTGCTCCTGAGTCTCAGTTTTCTGGTAAGTGGGCCGGTATCTGCCTCCTCACCGTTACACGCTCCTGGGAGAACTAAGTAAATAACACAAAGGAGGGTTTTATGGATTATAATAGGCTGTGTCTACACACGGGATAAGAACTAATCCTCAAAATGAAGGTCTGCAGCAGGCAAGGACTGTTCTGTTCCCCAGAGTGTCCCCACATTTAGCATCTGGCATGGCATCTAGAAGTGCTAGCAAACATTCACTGAATGAATATAAGTATGTGTTATAAACAGTAATGCTTGTGCCTTTTTCTCCCAGAAAAACAATGCCGTGTGTGTCAATAAAGAGCCCGTCGCTGAAGTTGATATCATGGCCACCAATGGCGTGATCTATGCTATCTCCAGTGTCCTGCAGCCGCCAGGTAAGGTCCTGCAGGTATCACCTTCCCACTGAGTCTGCTTCTAGAAGGTATTACTTCTCACTGTGTGGCCTCTCGTGCTCGATACAAAAGTTGCCCTTAGCCTAGATAAGAATAATATGTGTCACTCTCATGGAGCCCCTTGGCCGGCATCATTGTGGCTAATTGAAGCAAATTAGGAACTTGGTTTCAAATGCACAGTGCCAGGGCACTCCAGCCCACATTACTCCTTGCTGAATCACTGCAGCTCTGCTCAGACACCGCCCAGTTGTTTGTTACTTGTGGATCCTGTGGACATGGATCAAAGCACCCTTAAAGCATCTCACCTCGTGTGAGCTCTCTTTGACTCCTGTAAAGTTCTGCTTGAGTCCAGCTTCTGTTCTTTCTTATATCTTCACCGTTCTTTGAGCCCTGTCCCCACTGGTCAAATTCCACATGAGTTAGGAAAAGTTATAAAAGAAAAATTCACTGAAAATGTAAACCAGAAAGTCCAACAGTGCCCTCAGTCATGGTTTTGTGAAGGCATGCTAATTTTTCTCTCCCACCCAAGCCGCCTTTTCTTTCCTCTCCAGCCAACAGACCTCAGGAACGAGGGGATGAACTTGCAGACTCCGCATTTGAAATCTTCAAACAGGCATCAGCGTTTTCCAGGGTAAGATGCATGCCAGCTGTACCTGTGACCTAAGCAGCTGAGGGTCTTCTGCTTAGGTCCAGGGAAGGGGTTTCCTGGACCTTTGTCTTCCTTGGCTGTTTCCCCAAGGCTCTCTCTAAACTTCTCCCAGTTCCCTTTGAGAAAGCCTCAGTGGTACCCTGTGTAGCATTCAGAAAAAAGAAGCCTGGAAGCTGCTGCTTCCTTTGTGGGCAGAAGCCCAGGCCTTCAATCTAACACCCCTAAAGCTCAGTCCATGGGAAAGCCACTGCTGGTAAGAACAGATAGAATTCTGGAACCCATGTAGCCAAGAAAGGACTCTGCCGTATGGTAACCTGACTTGGCTCGCACTCTTCTGCTTCCTCTGACATGACCCATTGTGGGTGCTGGTGGGCTTTCCAGGGCAGTGGTGCGGACCCCAGATACAGGCAACTGAGCTAGCTATGTGTCAGGGGACTGAGCTAGCTGTGTGTGTGGATCTCCTTCCACATCCCACTCAGAACTTCTGACTTTTCTCTGCTTTTCTTCCTACTCATCACCTTGCCCAGGGCCCAGGAGCCCCACCCAGGTTCGTGCTGTTTCAGGTCAGGCAGAACCCTTTAGGAATGGGGGTGCCTTGCAGAAGGTTTCCAGAAAAGAAACTGCAGAAGGCAAACCTGAACACAGAGCTGGAATATGCCCCTTTACTTGGGCCAGAGCCTCTCTCTAGTGCCTCTAAGAAGAATCCTTCACCCTGAGCACCTCCTTCTGAGAGTCAGCCGGGGTGCCATCGCAGCTCCCCAAGCCCTAGGCTGTAGTCCTCGTGAAAGTTCACCTTTGGGGTCTCCCATACATGCCCAACTCAGACTCCTTGTGGTAGGGGCCTGCAAGCCCAGCTGAGGTGTTCCCCAGGGCATTCCAACCTCCTTCTTTACCCTCAGAATTTTTTATGAGTAGGGGTGGCAATGGGCAAAGCCACTGACATGAGCAGGTGCAGGTATAAGTTTCTCTAGAAAACCTGACACCTTGTGTTTTCTTTCAGGCTTCCCAGAGCTCTGTGAAACTAGGTAAGTCTGGTCTGACTTGAAGTCTTCGGTAGGCTCCTGTGGGCCTTACCCCCAAATAGGCCCAAGTCTGCCACCTGCTGTAGAGAGATAAGAACGTCATAGTGAAGGAAACAAACCTGGCCTTTGGGGCCAGACAGAATCTCTTTCCCTTCTCCAGAAGATGGAGCCTGGGAACATTGCTCAGAGCTTGGTGGGACCCCATGGTGATGACATGGTTCCTAGCTGATAGATAGAGAAAATTGCAGTTCAGAACTTCAGAAACTTGAGTCCAGTATGAAATTTCACAGACACAAAAGCACCAGCTGTGTAGAGGAAAGTGGTGAAAGAAGGATGCTTGACCCTCATCTCATGATTCTGGCAGTGTCCTAGACGAAGAGAAGTCAGCATCTTTTTTTACCTTTCAACCTTCTGTCTTCCAGCCCCCGTCTATCAGCGGCTATTAGAGAGAATGAAGCACTAGTGCAAGGTCCGCAGGAGGAATACACGTCGGTAGCTCCCGTCAACTTCTCTCGGTTTGCAAAGAAACTGAATGTTTTTGAACCAAATATCACACATCAATGTACATGGGCCACACACTATGAGACCTGAGCCTTGGGTGGGTAGTGGGGAGAGAGGAAAGACCCGGCCCCTCCAACATGGCTGTTCACCCACCGCATGCAGAGGTCTGGATGTTGCTGCCTGGCACTCACTTCCAGAATGGACCTGTCCTACATGTGGAATCTCCTGCCTATGCCACGTGCTCTGGAAAAGAAGTGTAGTGGAGCTCACAAAACATGAATCAAGCAAGCTGGCATTACAGGGAGTCCTGGCACAGGTTTTGTAAAGCTCTTTCCCAGCTGGAGAAATGGCACCATTATAAGCTATGAGTTGAACTGTTCTTTCAAGCGTGTCTCACACCACGTGGCTCGGACACTCCTGCGTGGCCCTGTCCAGGTAGAAAGAGAGGGTTGGGAGAGCCCGCAGAGCCAGGATTCCCCAGGTGTGGCAGAGCCTGGTGTGTTTGTAATAATAAAACCAAAGAAACATACTCCTGCATGGATGGGACCTGTGTGTTCACAGGAGCCAGGTCTCTGTTCCTGGGGCTGAGCTGCTGCTTCGTGCTGAGCTCTCACCTAGAGCGGTTGGGCAGGGAGCCCTGAGGGACTTCTTCATTTCTGTCTCCACCAGCCCTGGGGTCTGGGGTCCTCAGTCTTCACTTCTCCATTTAGGCGTGAGCCCTTTGCCTTCCTTCCAACAGTGCCACCCCCGCCTGTGCTGGACTTTGGAATTTTCCCTGGGCACCACCCTGTGAAGTGGTTGCTGGCACAGCCATTATCCAGAGGAGGCTCAGGAAGGGGAGAGCAACTGATAATGTAGGAAACAGCCGGCGGAGGCTAAAACCCATGTCACCTGTGTCCCAGCCACCACCATTTGACAAATCCAGGTTTCACAGGCTCAGACCCTCTTTACCAGCCCACTTTCAAACCTATTCCTGGTTTGTTTTTTCATCCTCTCCATCTCAAAGTGTCCTCAGCTCCGAGAGGCAGTATAGCATGGCTGTGGCAATGCAGCCACCACTGCCCCCTACTTGTGTGCCCTTGGGTCTGCCAACCTCTCTGTGCTCCACATCTTCATCTGTAGTAGAGGATGACTACTGTATGTACTGCATAGGCATCAGAGGATGAAATGACCCCCACTCCCAACCACCCCAAAAAAAAGCCTGCTGCAGAGCTGCGTATCCTTATTTTGACACTTTGTCAGGGGCTGTTTGAGGTTTGAGGGCCTTTTGAAAAAGGCAGCCCATTTTCCAGAGAGTGGGACAGCCCCATCCTCCATTCTTCTCGAGGCCAAGGCTGACTCACTCCAGCAGGTGGGGCTCATATCACTTACTGCACCCCAGGACCCACAACCAGAGCTGTCTGAGCTCGACTTCTGGGTCTGGACACCACTGCTGGAAACAGAGCCATGGACCAGTAGGTATGTCATTCCTTCATTCATTCCGCAAATATTTGTGTCAGCCGCCACAGAGGTGGGCTTGGCCTCCTCTGGGAGAGAAAATGGCTAAGCCTGGCATTGCCACCTGCCTATGCTCGTGGACTCTGAAGGACAGCCCTGCAGTTCTGAGACAGAAGGTGAAGGAAGGAATCTGAGGAAGTGGGGCTGGTGGAAGGGACACCCAGGAGTTCTGCCCATGGGAAGAGGTGAGAGGAATTGGAGGAGCTAAACAGGAAAGAAGGGTCAGGCTCAGGAAGGGACCCATGTGGTGAGTATTAGCCTCTGGGCCCCACAGCGCTGCCCTGCACTCCCTGCCCGATGGCCATGCGTCTCTGCCAGTGATGACCTGGCACATGCTGGGTATCCTGCAGCTATGCGTCTCTTTGAACCCTCAGGAAGGGCTGGTCATTACATGCCTGGGCATTACAAGACAACCTCAGAACCAAAGGAGTGATTTGTATAAACTTTTAAAGATCCTTTCATTTAAAACAATGTCATAGGAGTCCTTAAAAATCCCCAAGTCCCTTCTCTTCCTGTGACCCAATCCCAGCCCTGTTCCCAACAATAGGGTGAGGGCTCAACTGTATTCAGCTCTCTCCAGAGAGTCCTCGTGACTAAGGACCATGCCCAATCCTTGTCCTGCTTTGTAGCCAAAGAGGGTGGAGTCCCCTTTGGGGGCTCCTAAACATCTCCTTTCTTTTTCTACGGGAGACCCAAGCTTAGCATTAGGTACTGCCATGGGACAGACAGTAAAGGCTGAGTTCCCCAGAGTGGGTGACTACTGGGGAGATATGTGTGCCTTCCCTGCACCCCCTCACCAGAACAGAGGGCAGCCATCCCAGAAGGAGGTTGCTGAGGCCCTCTCTGAGACTTGTGATCTGAGCCTCATCCAGAAAGAGAAGGAAGGGAAAGGGTGTCTGCTTGGTTCCCTTATCTCTGCTCTCGCTCTGGACCTCCTAGGCCTCTAGGGTATAGAGAGTATTACAAAGGCCTTCTTCAGTGGGGTTCAAGGGTCTTCCAACCTGAGTGTGCCTTCTCCATGCTGAAGGCAGCTGCCTAAAACTAGCCCAATGAGCCAGCTGGAGGCTAGCTCACCTATACTATAGTCCAGTAGAGGGGCTGATGCATTGGACCACACTTAAATATATTCCCTCTTCTCATCCTCATTTTGTTCCTATGAAATAAATAAGTACTGGTAGAATTCTCAGTTTATAGCTGTGGAAATGGAAACTTAGCAATAAAGTCACTTGCCAGGTCACAGAATAGGAAGAGGCTAGACATAGAACTGACTCGGGGGCTCCAGGCTCTACCCTCTTAAACTCTCTGCCCCTCTGCCTCACCCAGGGTCCACGAGGAGGCGTCCAGGCAGCCTCAGCAAATAGGGTATGGGTGTCTTGGTGGTCAGAAAGGATTCCAAGGGCTCCCCACCCACCTCCCCTGCTCCTGAGAAGCCCCAGTAGGGCACAGCCTAGACCTTTACTTGTTCACTTGCCGCAGAGTTGGGGCGGGTGAACAACAGCTAGGTTGCCCTTGGTACCACGTGGATATCAGGAAACTGGAGAACAATTTCTCACGCAGAGGAAATGCCTCCATACTTAGAATCATAATTTAGTGTCATGCTCTGAGAGAAGCTTCCCAGAATATTGTGCTCTGAAATCTTTCCAAAGCCAGGAGAGAAGGCCAGGGAATGAGGGATGGGCCTGATACCCTGTCTGAGAAGTCAGCTGGGGTCATCTCTGGCATCCCTATCTGGCAAGGAACCATCCACTCCATGGAATCCTTGGCCAATTCCCTGACTAAGTCAGTTCAGAGAAGTGTTGGGGGAATGGGAGTGTGGAGCAACCACACACATGCGCACGCACACACACACACACACACGCTCTCAAATATACTCTCAGTGCACTCATCCGTTGACCTACACTGTTTGGCCCACAGTGTCACACTCTCTCACATGGACCTGTGAAGCCCAAGGTAGCCTTGGGCCTGGGTAACTTCACACCCTCTGGAGTGCGGAGGGGTTGAATCAGGAAGAAGACAGCAGCTCAGGTATTGTCGTCCCACCAGAAACTTACACTCTGACCTTGGGTCTGTTGGAAGGGATTCCACAGAGCCAACTACACACAGGCCAGCTGTGTTGTTCATGGTCAGTCAAGATAGAGGGCTAGAGACAGTGGTAACATTGGAGATGAAAGAACATGGAAGAAGTTGACATGTTTTGGGAGGCAGAACAGACAACTTGAAGATGGTATGGAGGGAAGGGTAGAGCAGAGGGTTCAAGGATGATGCTAAGATTTTCTCCTTGAACAATTGGGGGTGATGCCATTTGTTTTCTGAGGTGCAGAATAATGGGAAGAAGCTGCTAGTAGATGAAACTAAGAGTTCTAATTTGGGTATTTTAAGTTGGGGGTCCAATTAACCAAGTAGGATGTCAAAAAAGCTGTTAGATAACCAACCCCAGAGCTGAGGAAAGAGGCCAGTTTGATGTGGGGTATTTGGGAATCATCAATTATAGACATTATTCAAAAATGCTCTGGATAAAACTCACCTAGGAAGGACATATAGATAAAGGCAAGTGCCTCAGGCAGAGCCATGTATTGCTCCAGCAATGAGAGGTGAAGAGAAAGAGAAACCTGCACTAGTATCAGACACAGGTATGGAGGTCTCAAAGCCAAGGGGGAAGATAGTTTTCTGAAAACACCAAATGTAAAATTACTGGTGTGCCCATTAGACTTGGCCACCTGAATGTCATCAAACCATATACTTTTGGTTTGCGTGTTTCACTGGATGCCATCTTTCAGGGATTGAGAGCCCTGTAGGTAACAAAAACAAACAAACAAAAACCCAACCTGGAAACAATTCAGTCCCATTCTTCACATCTGGATCGAAAGCCCCTCCCTCTGCCACCTGTGCATCCATCAACACTGTCCTCATAACTTCCTTGCAGTAATTTCCCACTTCATCTATGGCATCCCCAGTTAGGGTGTAAAATTTGAGGCAGAGATTCTGTGCTACTCCTGTGTGTCAGGGCCTGGCACACAGTATTTAAAAGCTGTTACCCCAGAGCCTTGTTTTCTCTTTATTCAACAAGGTGAGACTTGGCACCCATTGCTCCCTGAAAAGGGAGATGAGGCCTTCCAGACACTTGGGGTTTCCTTGGGGAGTGTTCATATATGTGAGTTGCTTTCCTCAGGTCTGTCCAAGAGTATAGAGGGTGGCATGGTGGATATCACCATGCCCAGGGCCTCTGCCCAGCTCTGCTTTAGGTCACTTTAGCTAAGAAGACTCCCTAATTGAGGGAGAGCACTCATGGGGTCAGGTCAAGCAGCCCCCCAGTCAAGGAGAACATCTGCATCCAGAGAACAGACAAATGGCCACTGAATCACACAGCAGAGTGGGTCACTTCACCCTGAACAGGTAACCCAATCCTCTCAGCCGCTAACCCCTTTAGGGAGGAAGTATCTTGCTTAAAAAGTTCTCCCCATTTCTGGCATCTTCCTTCAGTTACATCTGAAGAAAGATCTGAGATTTGGGAATAGCAAAGACAGAGAGGAAAGACTTCTGATTAAATATCCTCATTTGGGTGGAAATGAGTTTTGGAGTGAACAGATGGAAAACCACTCTATCCCCTGTCAGTGGGACCAGTGAGTCCCGATGGCTTTTTGGCAACAGCCCATAAATAAATAATTCTGGTTCAAGGAAGCCATCTGCACGCAGGGACGTTCCCTGATGTCAACTCTCAGTTAGGATCCCAGAAACAGAGGGTGAGGGAAACAGCCTTGAGGGGGAAGAGGGCTCACACCGAGGGAGGTGGAAAGTGAAACAGGATGAGGGTGTAAGTGAAACATGTCCTCAGCTCTCAGTCACGCAGGGGCAGCTCCTGCAACATGCTTGAGAACCAAGGAAGAACAGTCTCTGAAACACTACAGGCACCCTCAAATCCCAGCCCAAATTTGAGGGGACACACTTCCAGCCCAGAAGAGGGGTTCCTAATCTTTCTCAAACCAAAACTTCTAACAGAAGCTGGGACCCCTGCCAGCATT